TCTTGAAAAGAATTGTATGGTAGTGATTCAAACATCTTTCACAAAACCAGGAACATATGTAGTATGGAAAATAGAGTATAATATATATATTTTGAAATAAATCCACATTTGAACCAAAAACATTTGCAGTTTATCGTTTTAAAATATACACTTTCCTCTTGATGGAACAACTATAACCTATTCCATATAAAAAAAAAAAATAGATTTTCCCATCGGGTTCGACGTATGAGGGTCAAGCAGATCAGTTTCCAGGAAACTGACAGCCCGACACCGGCACATGAGATTCGATTATAATGGTGAAGGTTTTGTGCAGGACCATCCACATTTTTTGAAGGGCCGAATACAGAGACCTGGTGCTACGTGCCACAAGGTTCCCAAACAACCCCCCTCAGGTTTTGAATTCAGAGTTGTCCTTCTCCTAGACCAGTTGCCATCCAAGGCTATAGAACCCAGTCTGTCCTGCTATTTTACCCATAGCTGGAGGTAGAAGAAGAGGATTCATACCTTTCCCAAGGGTATTAGCACGTAAGTGAATGTAATGGATTCAACCTGGATTCGAACTCGATTCTGCAATTCCTCAATCCAAGCCGATATCCATTACTCCACAGTGCCTCCTATTCCATATATATATATATATATATATATATATATATATATATATATACACACATACACATACTAGCAGTAGAGCCCGGCATTGCCCGGGGATGTAACAGTAAGAGATAGATCAAGTATCGACCATCATAAAGACTGAAAAATAAAATTGACAAAGATTATTGTTTAAGGTTGACGGACACGCATGTCTTAATTAGTTTTTTTTTTTTTTTTTTTCAAATTGGTCAAACCCAAATTCAAACAAAAACATTGTTTACAATCGTTATGAGTCTATCGATTGGTGAATAGAATTTTATTATAAACAATTGTCTTGTAAATGGAATTTTTAAAGCATTCTGAATGTAAATAAAGAAAAAAAAAATGTGCAAGACAATAAGAAATACTACCTGCCGAAAAAAAAAAAAAGTGAATGTTTGTTTTATCGGCTGAAAAATGTAAGAAATCCGATCCCATATATAAAGGAACACACACACACACACATAAACAACCTGGGTTTTTTAACCTAAGTCACTCCACGGAATCGCTAAAACATAGAGCATAGTCTGATGAAAAAGACGCCAAGTTTATGAAAACAAAATTTTATCGTCAAAATGCTTATTTTTTTATGAAGAGGATAGACTAAATTTTTTTTAATTATTTTTTTAAAAATTTTTCCATCTTTTTAGAATATTCTAAATTTTGATTTAAAAAACCTTGTTTCTCTTTGTCGCAACAAGGGGTAGTAAATAACATAGATAATTTTTAGTGCATTTTTTTGTATTTACACACATTAATTTGGAAAATCTTGCAAAAATAAAAATAATTGTCAGATGTTAATGAAACTTTCAGAAACTATTCACAGATGATCGAAATTATTATAAATATTTTTTTTTTTTATTAAAGTCATGGCAGAAATATTTTTTTTATATTTATTAACACCCCCATAACTAATTTTATGAAAAACTCTAGAAATTCGAGACCATCGGTTTTAGTGATTACAATAGTTAAAAGCACAAGGCTTTGAAGAATGCAAATCATGTTTTTTTTTTTTTTTTTGGCCAATGTACCTGAAAATCAGCTGTGAATTGTAACATACAAAACTCAATAAAACAAATATATTATTTAGTTTCAAATGCTTTTATTTGTTTTAATTTGTTTTTATGAATATGGACAATATTTTCTGAAAGCAAAAAATTTTTTCAATGAAAATTGAATTTTTAATACAATTATTTCTTATTTCTTTAATTTTAAAAAGATTTTTAAAAAATGTTTAAATTGAATTTAAAAAAATATTTTAACATTAGTTAAAAGCAACATCAACCTTTCAAAATGTCCGTGTGAGATTGTCATTGTCTAGCGCTTTGAAAATTGTATAATTTGGACCAATCAGATTAGCCATGGTAATTAAGAAATGTAATTTTTGTGTTTATAGTCGGACAGTAATTATCAAGTACGGAAGACCAACCAGAATACAATTTAGTTGCATTATTTGAGTTCAGCATTGTTCTCCGCTGTTAAGCCCTTTACTTTTAAAAAAAACACATATGGAGAAGTTAATTTGAGTTTTCAATTTCAACTGAGAAGGGTACCTACAAGTAACAGTATCATCTTATGAAATTTAACTACTGCTAAACTTTAATTTATATGATCTTATTTTTATATTAATCTCAGTTATGACATTTTTCCATAAATGAAATATCAAAATTAATAATAAAATGAATGGAAATACAAATAACACAGTAAAATGTAATAAATGTACATAAAATTATAGTATTTTATGTACACTTCTGATAAAATTTCATAAGAAAGGTACCTAAATTAATTAGATACCTTTTTTCTTATAAAATTTAATCTCACTATTAACAGTCTTATTTTTTAATTTCTTTATATTTTCCATAAAACATCGTAAACGTAAAAATGAAAGCTAAGTACAAAAAAAAAAAAAAATAAAAAAAAATTAGAGCGCTGAAAGTTTTCCTTAAAAGTAACAAGGTAAATAATTTGTTCACTTAAATAATTTCACTTCCTTCCATCCGTAGAAAGAATTCTCCTCCCGTAAATTATCTAAACGTCATGAATGTGCCTTTCGTCAATCGTCAAGCGACGCGAAAGGTTATGACCTGCTTTGTTTTATTTTCAAATTACATTTTTTTCGGCGCAGAAGCTAAGTTAAGCTTGGTTCAAAATATTTTAAATAAACAGTATAATATCTGTTTTTATTAAAATCAGTTTTGAAAAAATGATAATTGACTTTTAAAAGAATATCAAAGTAAGATTTTAATCTTTTTTATCAAATCGAAAAAAATGATTGAAAATGATTATCTGCCCTTTTTTTTGACCAAAAAAAAATATTTTTAACGAAAATTTCGGACGTTCTAGGAACGATTATAAAATGTAAAAAAATACCCCCAAAATACTTTGATCTTTCCTCTTTAATAATAATATGAACATTAGACGATAAAATTTTGTTTTCGTCAAGTTCGGCGTCTTTTTTCATCATGCTATGCTCTTTTGTTTACATTTTCGTGGGTGAGTTGTCCCCTTTCATTCTCACGATGTGTCTTAATCGTGTTTTCAAATTGATTTTATTAAAAAACAACTGTATTTTTCCCATTTTCGGTCCCGTTAGAACCACCACAAGGTAATTTTATGTAGTCCTGTGAAGTTTTGTTGAAATCTGCTAAAAAAATGTAGGAAATTCGATCCAATATATAAATGTTACAGACACACACACACAACCTGTGTTTTATAATAAGTAAGATATATATATATATATATATATATATATATATATATATATATATATATATAAAACTTAAATTCTAGGCTGAAGTACCAGGAAGCTATACTTTGATCTAAGGCAGAGTCCACAGATAACTGATCTTGATCTTGGTAGAAGTGCCAATTGTCATGTTTTTTTATGTTTATTATCAATAAAGAATGAATAATGTTACTGCTAAAATTAAAATTTAGCAATTGCATTTAAAGAATTGTGTAATTTTTTAAATAAATGATATGATTTTTAATTAAAAAACAGAAATACTTAATAGGAAAGAGAATGCCAACATATTTTAGAAAAAAAATTATATTGACTGGTAAAACAGTGTGCCACAAGGTCTCCAAAAGATCCTCTTCAGGCTTTAAATTCAGAGTTAACCATCTCCCTAGACAGGTTGCTAAATGAGGCTATAGTGCCCAATCTGTCCTGCTACTCACCCATAGCTGGATTGAGATAAGATGGGTTCATACTTTTCCCAAGGGTATTTGTGTAAAAGTGAATGTAATGGATTCAGTTGTAATGTGAACTTGGCATACCTATACCATATTCTTTACTGGTAACCATTATGCTACGTGCATATATGTACATTATTAGAAATATTACATACACAGTCATGCTTATAAATAACACATGCATCTGCAAATAACCCATTCTATATTAATATATTTTTAAAATTTAAGATGCTTTGAAAATGAACTGTTTCCATAAGACAAAAATTCCTTTGCCAAAAAGCCAATGGAAGGAAATCACAATCTCTTTTTATATATGTATATATATATATATATATATATATATATATATATATATATATATATATATATATATATATATATATATATATTATATAAAAAATAATAATAGCTGGCCACTCATATTTGAGGATACTAGGGTGGCTAGTCAATCCCTTTTAGCAGACTCTCATTTAGGCACATTTGTGTTTTTCAACACCCACAGAGCCAACCTGTGGTTTATACTGCAACTATGTTGAGCAGACCTTACAGTTTCTGGGAGAGTGTGTTATCTAGAACAATCAAAATCTGAACACCACCAGCACACTGAAACCCTTGGTCACGATGATTTTCGACTTTGTGCTATCACAGCTAGTGATGGCTTCAAGTGTTCTGTCTACCCAATTTCACTCACAAGGCTTGGGTCAACCCGTGGTATAGTTTCCAGGCATTCTCCAAAGACGCTACATACTGGGATCGTCCCCTTATTCTTATAATAACATCAGGAAGTCTCCTTCCTGACAAATCCTCCATGGTGAGATTCAAATCCAGGTCTAATGGTCAGAAAGTGAACATTCTAACCACTCAGCCATGCACCCATAATGTGTGTATATATATATATATATATATATATATATATATATATATATATATATATATATATATATAGTGTGTGTGGATGTCAGAATCAACACTGTGTTGAGCCTTATTTCCACACTGTCTATATCTATAAACTATCTCCAATATTGAGCAGTCTTCCTTCATAATTATAGTAAATTTTTTAGTTCACTATATATTTCCTATATTTGTGTCTTTCTTTCATTCTGCTCTCTCAGTGCTTACTTTGTAATCTTGGAATAAGAAATTGTGGGGCTGGGGAAAAAAAATGAAAAACTTACCCATTTTTTACTGCAATATATCTGCCACTTTTTTCTCAGGGGGCAAATTGAACAGGGCTTCTCTGTAAATTTTGTCCAAATCCAATTCTTCCTAGAATAAAAGAGTAATTTTTTCATGAGTGAACCTTCAAAATCAACCCTTTTTCTTATATGGGTTAAAAAAAAAAAAAAAATATATTTTTTGTTCTCCTAAACAAGCACTATTGGAAACTGTGCTTCCAAGGCAACCATAATGGTTAACAAAGAGAATTCCAATTATCTTTTTCCTGATCCTCACTACATTTATCTTTATTAAAATAGCTGTATGATGAAGCTGACATACATTATTGTAAAAGTATATTTCACAAATGCCTTACTTTATCATCTATAGACAGAAATAAAAAGATCCAACATATAAAGTTACTGATCTACATACTTGAAAATACATCTACAGTAAAAAGAATCTAATATTGGATTTTTTAATTTACTTGGATGAGTTCCTTCAAAGTTTGTAATCTATGCAGTGTTTGTCTTTTCTCTAAAAAAAATTATAAATTTTGAGATCATCCAAGCAAAAAAATTTTTAAATTCTATGTCAATAATTAAAGTTCACCTATAATTGAAGTTAACAAGATTTAAAACACCTCCATAAAAATAAATTGAGCAAATAAATCATATATTTCTTTACTGTAATTAACAAAATTTTCTTAATTTAGGCAGATTTAAAAACTCAAATGCATTGTTTTATGTATTTATATAGAAAAATATGTGGGTAATTTAATGGTAAAAAATTTCATGTCATGCATTTCAACCTTCAAAAGCACTTCTTCAAACATTAGCTTTTATCAATGGAACCATTGTATATACAGAGTAGCAATAAAGCCACTATACAAAGTTACTTACAATAACAATTAATCAACAGTTCAGAAATTTATTTATTATTAAAATAGTTCTGGTTAATTCTGGTTAATGACAATAAAATGTTATGGTAAACAATAATAAATTAATTACCGATACTGTTTGAACAGCAAACCATCTGCTTTAATGCTTTGCTTTTTTATTATAAGTAACTGTATTGTGACTTTCTTGCCACCCTGTATAAAAAAAGTAAGGTATTTTGGCAGCAAGAATTCTTTCAAATATGTTTGAATAATATTGACAAGTTCTGTCTATCCAATTTTTTTTATTAATTTTTTCAAATTTACAAATTAGTTGTTTATATATAATTGGTAAATTTACCAAAGTTCATATTTAATTGATTGTGTTTCATGTATGTGTATATAACTGGTTTTGGTTAATTCCAGCATCCTCAAGTTTTATACAACCAATTTTAAAAAAAAAAAAAAATAAAATTTATCGCGAAAGACTGAAATTACTGCATTTTAAATACATTTTTTGCTTTAATAAAATCTTCTATGTGCAGTGTCCTTCTTGTCTTGTCATCATTAATTCACAGTTGAACTGGCTAGATGTAACAAAGTTCTATGCTAACAATTTCTTTTCTCTCACACTTCTCACTTGTAGGTATTATTTCTTTTGGTCTCATGCTTTCCAGCAAACTTTGACCTTCAAAATTTAAATGCAATATCAATCATTGTCTACTGTCATCTTGATTACTTTTCTATTGTCTTCATCTTAATAATGTTTTTTTTTTATTTCTTATTCTTTTACACTCAGTAACCCCTTGTATCTTAGAGGCTCTACTGCTTTGCATGGGATGATATGATTAAAAAAAAAAAAAAAAAAAAAAAAAAAAAAAAAAAAAAAAAAAAAAAAAAAAGAAAAAGTTCCATCCCTTTAATCAATCTCGCTTGGTAGATTACATGTAGTTTTCCACTGTCCCTCTTTCCTTCAATCTATCCTGTGAGTATGCAAATATTCTTTCCTCATTATGCACCCTAGAAATTTAAAATATCTCTTCTTGATGTTAAGTATAGGACTCCTTTTTTGTTTTTATTTTCTTTAAAACTTAGTCATTACTCACATGTTCAGTCCATGGTATTCTCAGCATCATTCTATAGAACCACTTTTCTGTTGCCTTAAGTCTCTTCTTTATCTGTGAGGAGATTGCCCAGCATTCACTACTATATAGGAGGATTGATATTATGTAACAATTCTGTATTCTTTTCTTTGTTTCTAATGAAATTGTTCTTTTTCATAATGCTTAGCTTTTTTTTTTTACTATCCCAATGCATCTTCTGATTTCAGTGTTACACCCCCAACCATGTTAAAACACTTCCCAGATATTTAAATTATTCTCTCTTAATTGTGCATATTCCTGCATAAATATATTTGTATAAAAATTAAACATATATAAAGAAAAATGTGAGAAGCATTAGCTTTCAGCAAATAAGTGTATTTAGTCAAATTAGTGCCTTCATTGTTAAAGTCACTGTTTCAACTCTTATACCTACCAGGTGTGTGTATGTATGTATATATATATATATATATATATATATATATATATATATATATATATATATATATATATATATATATATATATATATATATATATAGAGAGAGAGAGAAAAGAGGAATGAGAAATACCTCCCAAATACTGGTAAAACATTAGCTAGATGAAGACATCATTGCTACTAATATTTTATCATTATGTGAGAGGTATTTTTTTCTGCACTATATATATATATATATATATTACACACCCACCCCTAACAATTCTGGGCAATCAATTAATGTATAAATCTTATAGAAGCTTAAAAGTAAAAATTATTTTAAAAAATTTGGTTCTTTATTTCCAGCTGGAAGGATTGATAAAAATGTTAAATGTCGGGTGAGACATGGGAAACTTGATAGATGCAGAGATTAGCAATTTGTTCTAGTTTTTAAACTTTTAGGTAGCATTTTATTTAAATATGTTTGTGATATATGTGTATGCCTGTAAATATACACAACTTGTATGGCTAAAACATAAGACTAATATTAACAACCATCTTTAAAAATGTGTCAATGTCAGAGAATGACAAGCTTGTCTCTTGTTGGCTTCAAGAGAATCGGTGAGGGGCTGGAGAAGCAGCAGATACAAGAAATTATTTGTGAGTGGCATGGAATTCAACAACTCAGAAATTTGTAATTTGAAATGAATGATGAAAGGAATGAGGGAATAACAATGAATGATGTGAGAAATGATTAACAACGAGTGCTGTACAATTACTACAAGTACTACATCCATTGAGATTAGTCATTCATTTACACAAACATCTGCTACACTGATTTCTTGCCAGGAGAATATTTTTTTTCTTTATTAAAAGATAAACAAAGCAGTCAAAAGCTTGTACCATTTCCTCTCTATCCCTATGTAACATTTCAGAGAGAAAGTACAAATAGTAGTTAATTTACTTTTATTTAACTGCATTAGATCTATAACCAAATCCTATAGAAAAAAAAGTACATAATCATGTTTCACAAAATATCATTTGGGACATTTTCTTCCAGGTATACAGGCTGTGATGGGTAAATTGTAGCCATTTTATATTTTTAATTATGCGCACACATGTTTGTTTTTGTCAACTGCACATTAATAGTAGGGTCAATTAGTCACTGTGAGAAAAAGATCTCCGTGATACAATTCAAGCCGCAATTTAGAAACAGCATGCTGTATTGCTTGGTATTTACACCAGAAGCCCTAATATGAACATTTCAGAGTGTTTGGGCATGAATCTGATGACAGTACTGAGGATTCGGAAACAGGTGGATGAGTCTAATCGTGATTATGAAGATATTTGGAGTGATCACTAGTGATGGGGACGTTATGCCTCCGTTCCTTTTCCCCACAGGGCCTCAGGCTCAATACAGAGACCTTCATCAAGTACTTTGAAGAGGTAGTGCTGCCCTGGGTCAAGAGGGTGGCTGCTGGAAGACCCTATGTCTGGCAACAGGACTCTGCACCATGTCACACAAGCAGAAGAACCTAATCATGGCTTTTAGACAATTTCTGCAACCACATCACCCCTTATATCTGTCCACCTAACTCTTCAGACTGCAACCCCCTTGATTATTATGTATGGAGTGAGGTTGAGTGAGAGACTAGCAAAACTCCTTGTAGCACCAAAGATCAACTGAAGGCAAGAATTATTGCAGCATTCAACAAATTAGAGGAGACCATCCAGAAAAGTTGCCAGAGATTCCAAAATCATCTGGAGGGCATGGCAATTTATCCATCGCACCTTGTATTTACCTGGCCTCCCCATTGAGGCAGGATGTGATAAAATTTTTGTGTGGGGAATGCCATACACATATGTCTGCCTATGGACCAAAGATAAAAATGTTTACCCAGTCCCTGTGGCAACTGTCATGTTGACATCAATACTACACCAACCCTAAGTCTCTTACTGCAATGAGGAACATGCTACCACAGAGTTGGAATCCCCAGGGCTTGGCACCTTATTCAAATCTAAAATGAGGAGAAATGTTTTCTCCACTTCCAGCCAAAAGAAGTGCCGGATGTCTTAGATATATCTCTCTCGTGTTTATATATAAACTTCAAATATTTTTTTTAGTGGATACTCATATTTATTTTAAACTATATTTAATTTGTCTGTGCAATCGATTATTATTGTCACAATGTGGGATATTTAATAACAAAAAATGATGGAAACATGAACAAAAAAATATGAAATCATTTATGTAGTATTACCTATTTGTGAGAAGTAGTATGCACTTAACTGCCTAGTGGATAATGTAGCAATTTATAGTTACGTCATCTCCCTGTACCAAACAGGTTTTATTCCCTTATTTTCCCTTGTACTCCTTCTGGGAGCTTTTGTCTTTATTTTCCTCCCTCACCCTAAGAGATTGTTTAGATATAGTTCTTGACCTTTTTCTTTTTTCATAGACGTGTTCCTCTAATGATAGTTCATCTTCAGAGTCTATATTACTCTCAATTTCACTGTCTAGTTTATCTTGCCTTGACATGACACTTGCCTTCATTACTTTCAGGCTCACTATACATTTCTTCATCACTATCATGTGGAAACCATTTTGGTCTGTATGCGCTAATATCCCATTTCTATTTTTTTCTATTGTCATAGTGTTCGGCCCACTTTGTATTATGAATCTTGCCTCTTGCATATTAGATTCATTAATCATTTTT